AATTAATTCGTCTCTTGACCGATACGAAATATGAAAAGCGTACTGGTCTGAAAAGATTCAGCGACTCGTTAAAATGTATCTGGCAAAAACTTCCCAATCGCGTACACTAATATTGAGACTGCGTACCTTTATGGAAATTCATATATTTTTATTAACAGAATTAATGAAATGGAAGCTTTGCAAAGGGTTGTCTCAACTCCCCAAATATAATAATTCCTATGTAACTAAGTATTTCTTATGTTTTTGCATATCAAATGCATTCTGAAGCTTTTCGAGAATTAAAATTTCGCGTATGGTAATACTTAAAATCACAGAATCGTTAGATCGTTGATTTCCAATCGTTGTTCTAATAAAATCGAGGAGATTCGAGGGGAGATGTTTCGTGTCTCCGTGGACGTGTAAATTCAAGGAAGAACGAGAAAAGTGCTAGTCTGAAAAGATTCAGTGACTTATTAAAATATATCTGGCAAAAACTTCCCAATCGCGTACACTAATATTGAGACTGCGTACCTTTATGGAAATTCATATATTTTTATTAACAGAATTAATGAAATGGAAGCTTTGCAAAGGGTTGTCTCAACTCCCCAAATATAATAATTCCTATGTAACTAAGTATTTCTTATGTTTTTGCATATCAAATGCATTCTGAAGCTTTTCGAGAATTAAAATTTCGCGTATGATAATATTTAAAATCACAAAGTCGTTAGATCGTTGATTTCAGACCGTTGTTCTAATAAAATCGAGAAGATTTGAGGGGAGATGTTTCGTGTCTCCGTGGACGTGTACATTCAAGGAAGAACGAGAAAAGTGCTAGTCTGAAAAGATTCAGTGACTTATTAAAATATATCTGGCAAAAACTTCCCAATCGCGTACACTAATATTGAGACTGCGTACCTTTATGGAAATTCATATATTTTTATTAACAGAATTAATGAAATGGAAGCTTTGCAAAGGGTTGTCTCAACTCCCCAAATATAATAATTCCTATGTAACTAAGTATTTCTTATGTTTTTGCATATCAAATGCATTCTGAAGCTTTTCGAGAATTAAAATTTCGCGTATGGTAATACTTAAAATCACAGAATCGTTAGATCGTTGATTTCCAATCGTTGTTCTAATAAAATCGAGGAGATTCGAGGGGAGATGTTTCGTGTCTCCGTGGACGTGTAAATTCAAGGAAGAACGAGAAAAGTGCTAGTCTGAAAAGATTCAGTGACTTATTAAAATATATCTGGCAAAAACTTCCCAATCGCGTACACTAATATTGAGACTGCGTACCTTTATGGAAATTCATATATTTTTATTAACAGAATTAATGAAATGGAAGCTTTGCAAAGGGTTGTCTCAACTCCCCAAATATAATAATTCCTATGTAACTAAGTATTTCTTATGTTTTTGCATATCAAATGCATTCTGAAGCTTTTCGAGAATTAAAATTTCGCGTATGGTAATATTTAAAATCACAGAGTCGTTAGATCGTTGATTTCAGACCGTTGTTCTAATAAAATCGAGAAGATTTGAGGGGAGATGTTTCGTGTCTCCGTGGACGTGTACATTCAAGGAAGAACGAGAAAAGTGCTAGTCTGAAAAGATTCAGTGACTTATTAAAATATATCTGGCAAAAACTTCCCAATCGCTTACACTAATATTTAGACTGCGTATCTTTATGGAAATTCATATATTTTTGTTAACAGAATTAATGAAATGGAAGCTTTGCAAAGGGTTGTCTCAACTCCCCAAATATAATAATTCCTATGTAACTAAGTATTTCTTATGTTTTTGCATATCAAATGCATTCTGAAGCTTTTCGAGAATTAAAATTTCGCGTATGATAATATTTAAAATCACAAAGTCGTTAGATCGTTGATTTCAGACCGTTGTTCTAATAAAATCGAGAAGATTTGAGGGGAGATGTTTCGTGTCTCCGTGGACGTGTACATTCAAGGAAGAATGAGAAAAGTGCTAGTCTGAAAAGATTCAGTGACTTATTAAAATATATCTGGCAAAAACTTCCCAATCGCGTACACTAATATTGAGACTGCGTACCTTTATGGAAATTCATATATTTTTATTAACAGAATTAATGAAATGGAAGCTTTGCAAAGGGTTGTCTCAACTCCCCAAATATAATAATTCCTATGTAACTAAGTATTTCTTATGTTTTTGCATATCAAATGCATTCTGAAGCTTTTCGAGAATTAAAATTTCGCGTATGGTAATATTTAAAATCACAGAGTCGTTAGATCGTTGATTTCAGACCGTTGTTCTAATAAAATCGAGAAGATTTGAGGGGAGATGTTTCGTCTCCGTGGACGTGTAAATTCAAGAAAGAACGAGAAAAGTGTTTTGTTTTCCAGCACGGAGAAGCATAGGTAAGTTTGTTTGGAGACAAGACTGTAGATATTACATCCAAGAATCAACTTGGAGGAGCCGTGCCTGCTACTCTGTCTCGGTGCACAGTTTCTCGTGAATCTGTGTCGATCCCGAGTTTCTGTGTACAGATGTCCACAAAATCTTTCCGTACCCACGAGAATATCGTGTCCTCGAGCCTGGATTTGTCGCAAGCTTGTGCATATATCGTGATTCGTCCAATAGTCGATTCCCGATACACGAGATATAACGAGTCCACGGCAAATAATATATACCGAGTGTCCAGCTAAATACGCTGATGAAAAGATAGGGACAAAATAAATAAATTATTTTCGTTAATTCGGTGGCAAAAATTATACGGGTTCGAGTCTCTCTTTTTTTCAGGTGCTAACTATACAACAGTGATCTGTATTTACTTATAAGTGTTTTAAAAGTATTTTAGAAACGTTTTATCCTTAAGTGTGTATACAAATAATTTGTTTTGGGGGGCACTTTTGACTCCCTTATTCGGTTCTATCCTTCATCAAATACTTCACTTTATTGTAGGTATTTGATCAAACTCTAATTTCGAATTGTCAGTCTTTAATTAATGAAGAAAATGCGAAACACTTCGAAAAGAAATTGGTTTCTTTAAAGTGGGCAGTTATATTTTTTAACTGATTCCAAAGATTTTCAATGGCGTTTAAACCCTTTTAGAGTTATCCATTAGAAGTTCTAATTCTAATTCTTCTACATTTCCTACCAAGGAAGTGTTTAAAATGTTAACTATGGTCTCTTGCAGTTATTTCCCCATATATCAGACGAACAAGAACTACAAAATAAATCTCGTAATAATATTTGAAACGCTAACTGTATAAACATTAAACAATCTTATACGATCTCTGATTTTTCAGGTATCGATATTGCCTACCGTTATAAATTTTATACATCAACAAGTAAATTTCATTACTCGTTCGTTTGAATAATTGCAAATAAATGAATCATCACCGTTGTTTACAACACGAATTTTCGCGCTTCAAACAGAATTTTCCACCGTAATTCTATACAATGTGATTTTAATCTACGAATGGAAATTATTTTTAAACTATTCACGTCGCTGCCATCGTTCTAGATAGAAAATTTGCGAAGCCCCCGGTCTACAAACAGGCGTAGCTAAAATATTACAGCCGCAGGGTACCAAAACCAGACAGAATATCATAGTAGTCGCGATTACTGTACTTCGCCATTTCGCGAAATGCTGGCAGGTATATTTATTCCCGTAGTCCCTTGGCGGAAATTGAAAGTGCTTAAACACGGACACGCGACCGTGTGGTGGTCGTGTACGTCGATACGTGCGAGCCCAAAGCTACTTCCGGATCGAAATACGTGAAATACGCGTCCCGTTCGATTTTCGCTTACCGGACAAATTATTTTCCAACCTTTGCCATATTCTTTGCCACCGGGAGCCGCCCGTTATCTTGTGCCTGGATCCTAGCAAAGATACGAGTGCTGATCTTGCTAAATTGCATCCACTACTATACTACAGTCCACTGGTTCGGTCGTTATCTTGAGTCGGTCATCGGTTTCTACTTTGACTCTGTTTTCTGGACGAACGCTTTTCCCGGTAAAATAATACCACCTGAATTCAAAGAAAACTCCGGGCTTGGAATCGATCAATTTTATCAAACGTATAAATGACAAAATCTAGAGGAGCAATAGATTAGAAATATCTACAACGCAGTGATACACTCTGTTCCACAAGAGCGTATCGGTCATACTTTCTGCGAAAAAAGGAATTGTTTATAATTGAACGTATGACCTCGAAATATAAAATTATAAACAGGTTGTTAAATTATAAACAGCCAAAGGAGCAAAAATATTAACGTGACAGTCGATGAAACATTTCTGTGAAAGAAATGCCAATTGTTTCGTCAATGTCTCATGATTTTGTTCAACCAAAGACAGCTTAACGTTTGTATCGTATGTCTTTCGAGTTTTGTTAATCAGTCGTAAATATTAAATATTATAAATATTATATCACTCTTAAGGGGGTCTTCTACTGTAAATCGCCAAAAAATTCGATTTTTCTTTTTCCCATATCCATAAAGGGTATACTCTTAGAAAAATGTGTGCAAAAGAATATCACTGAACACCTAAAATTAACGAAGGTATCCGTATTGCTCGGTAGAACGATACCTGTTTGAACAGTCTGATCCTTCTTTTTTTTATTCTTCTCAAAACTATCTTTTCTGAATTGGCTTCCATGATATCTCATGATCTACTCTACCGATTTCGTTCAAATGCGCATGCGTCATTATAGCCCGTACTAGAATGACGTCAAAATCATTGTTCTTTCTATTTTTTTCTTTTTAAGCCTGTTAAAATTAAAAACAAGACATTTTCATCTCTCAAATCCTTATTTTTTACCACAACGTCATGAAACTTTGGCATTCAATTTCTGAATAGTATTGCTTCCGAAAAAAAAAAAAATAAGACAGAAATCCATTTTCTGACTGCCTGGTCCCCTTAATAGTTCACGAATAATTTCGTATTAAAATATTCCTTTGTATACAATACATTTTCCCCATATCGTCATCGACCGATGGTTATTAGCAGTACCAAAATCCGTTCTCCGCCGTTGGCTGTTGCAGAGTTCGCCGTTCCGGGTGTACGATGCGGTGATTCGAGGGCGGAGAGGACATCCCGTGAAGACTAGGACGCAGTCATACAAGCGGTGAGTCTGGATTTCGATTTGCCACGGGTTCTCGTTGCCCCGGAGCTACAGCCCCTTCGCGTTAATTTTCAATTCGCCGGCGACGCTGCTCCTATCTGGGAAACCGTTTTCAAACTTGTCCGCTTTCCGGGGGTCGTCGCGTCGGCCAGAAAGGACTTCCGGAGCGCAACAATTAATAGTTCACCGCGCGATCAGTGAAACGTGTTCCCCGCGCTCGTCTCGTCCCCCTCTGTCTCTCTCTCTCTCTCTCTCACGAGCATTTATTTTTCCGGCTAGTTTTCGTCCGTTTTCCGCGGTTTTATCTGGCAGCGGCGCGGAATTGTTTCAACTTTTCCGCGTGGGGCGTGGGAGGTGGGGAGGGGGGGGGGGGATGAAACTCCGCGAGAGAGCAACTGCTGAAACCTCGTAACGAGCGAAACAATGGTTAAAACTTGGCCAGGACCGGCCGAGCTTATAGAATAGCTTTCAAAACTCGTATCTATCGAGATATCGTGTTAATAAAACGGCACACCCGTCGACTTTTGTTGCGAGTTATCGACCGCGCCGTTTAATCGCCTCCTCTAAATCAATTTCGAGCGAAGAACCGCCTCGGAATCGATGCCACGCGTCGGAACGTTCCACGGTTTTTCTCCGGCATTTTTTTTTCCTTCTTTTTTTTTTGTCAGAGGGCGCGCGCGCGCGCGCTATTTCGGTATCATTTCCGGGGGCTTCCATTCGCGTTTACGCCGCGTTCCCACCTTCCGACCCCGGGCTCGCACGGGAATCGTGTTTAAAATTCATTTCTCTTTAAACGGACGTTTAATCAGCCCTCTTCTTTGCCGGCTTTGAGCCTGCGTTTTGTTTCGCTCGCGCAAACGGAGAGTGCGTAGGACAACCTAGCTCTGTTCTGGTTCTCTATGCTGAAAACTGGTTGAATCTTTACGGCGGGATGAATCTCTTTGTTGGATAATTTAGTGCGACTCGACGTGCGGGGGATCTCGAATTTTTTTCGTAACTCGTACGCGGCGAATCCACCGCGGCCCGTTTCAAGTAATTACAGGCTCGCGTACAGCGCCCGTGGTGACGTGCGAATAGTTGGACGAACAAGAAACAATTTGGAAACTCGCGAACAGACGACTCCGTCGAGTGGTTAGATCACCTAACCGTACTTTAAATAACTCTTGACGCGTTGACTGTCGGACCAAATCCCTCAAATTGTACACGAATACGAAACTTTGGTTTCAGACAATTGGAAATTACTCGCAATTTGTCGTAGAATTTATTTTCTTTAACATCTAGTCTTGAGAATCAATTTTTTTACTGTACAACAACTGATTAGGAAACGAACGTCACACTCTAGGACCTCTCCTCATTGTGACTGGAAATGATACAGCTAATTTAGCTCGTTGACAACTTTCGATCTTTGCATAGTAGAGCCTGAAAGAGAAAGGCGAACATAAACGTCACAGAACTTATTTTTACAGTTTCGTTAACGTTAAGAGTCCTATTGCGATTCATTTTCTTTAACATCTAGTCTTGAGAATCAATGTTTTTACTGTACAAAAACTGATTAGGAGGCGAACGTCACACTCTAGGACCTCTTTTCATGGTGACTGAAAATGATACAGTTAATTTAGCTCGTTGACAACTGTCGATCTTTGTATAGTAGAGCCTGAAAGAGAAAGGCGAACATAAACGTCACAGAACTTATTTTTACAGTTTCGTTAGCGTTAAGAGTCCTATTAAGATTCATTTTCTTTAACATCTAGTCTTGAGAATCAATTTTTTTACTGTACAAAAACTGATTAGGAAGCGAACGTCACACTCTAGGACCTCTCCTCATTGTGACTGGAAATGATACAGCTAATTTAGCTCGTTGACAACTTTCGATCTTTGCATAGTAGAGCCTGAAAGAGAAAGGCGAACATAAACGTCACAGAACTTATTTTTACAGTTTCGTTAGCGTTAAGAGTCCTATTGAGATTCATTTTCATTAACATCTAGTCTTGAGAATCAATGTTTTTATTGTACAAAAACTGATTAGGAAGCGAACGTCACACTCTAGGACCTCTCTTCATGGTGACTGAAAATGATACAGTTAATTTAGCTCGTTGACAACTTTCGATCTTTGTATAGTAGAGCCTGAAAGAGAAAGGCGAACATAAACGTCACAGAACTTATTTTTACAGTTTCGTTAACGTTAAGAGTCCTATTGCGATTCATTTTCTTTAACATCTAGTCTTGAGAATCAATGTTTTTACTGTACAAAAACTGATTAGGAGGCGAACGTCACACTCTAGGACCTCTCTTCATGGTGACTGAAAATGATACAGCTAATTTAGCTCGTTGACAACTTTCGATCTTTGCATAGTAGAGCCTGAAAGAGAAAGGCGAACATAAACGTCACAGAACTTATTTTTACAGTTTCGTTAGCGTTAAGAGTCCTATTGAGATTCATTTTCATTAACATCTAGTCTTGAGAATCAATGTTTTTATTGTACAAAAACTGATTAGGAAGCGAACGTCACACTCTAGGACCTCTCTTCATGGTGACTGAAAATGATACAGTTAATTTAGCTCGTTGACAACTTTCGATCTTTGTATAGTAGAGCCTGAAAGAGAAAGGCGAACATAAACGTCACAGAACTTATTTTTACAGTTTCGTTAGCGTTAAGAGTCCTATTGAGATTCATTTTCATTAACATCTAGTCTTGAGAATCAATGTTTTTATTGTACAAAAACTGATTAGGAAGCGAACGTCACACTCTAGGACCTCTCTTCATGGTGACTGAAAATGATACAGTTAATTTAGCTCGTTGACAACTTTCGATCTTTGTATAGTAGAGCCTGAAAAAGAAAGGCGAACATAAACGTCACAGAACTTATTTTTACAGTTTCGTTAGCGTTAAGAGTCCTATTAAGATTCATTTTCTTTAACATCTAGTCTTGAGAATCAATTTTTTTACTGTACAAAAACTGATTAGGAAGCGAACGTCACACTCTAGGACCTCTCCTCATTGTGACTGGAAATGATACAGCTAATTTAGCTCGTTGACAACTTTCGATCTTTGCATAGTAGAGCCTGAAAGAGAAAGGCGAACATAAACGTCACAGAACTTATTTTTACAGTTTCGTTAGCGTTAAGAGTCCTATTGAGATTCATTTTCATTAACATCTAGTCTTGAGAATCAATGTTTTTATTGTACAAAAACTGATTAGGAAGCGAACGTCACACTCTAGGACCTCTCTTCATGGTGACTGAAAATGATACAGTTAATTTAGCTCGTTGACAACTTTCGATCTTTGTATAGTAGAGCCTGAAAGAGAAAGGCGAACATAAACGTCACAGAACTTATTTTTACAGTTTCGTTAGCGTTAAGAGTCCTATTGAGATTCATTTTCATTAACATCTAGTCTTGAGAATCAATGTTTTTATTGTACAAAAACTGATTAGGAAGCGAACGTCACACTCTAGGACCTCTCTTCATGGTGACTGAAAATGATACAGTTAATTTAGCTCGTTGACAACTTTCGATCTTTGTATAGTAGAGCCTGAAAAAGAAAGGCGAACATAAACGTCACAGAACTTATTTTTACAGTTTCGTTAGCGTTAAGAGTCCTATTAAGATTCATTTTCTTTAACATCTAGTCTTGAGAATCAATTTTTTTACTGTACAAAAACTGATTAGGAAGCGAACGTCACACTCTAGGACCTCTCCTCATTGTGACTGGAAATGATACAGCTAATTTAGCTCGTTGACAACTTTCGATCTTTGCATAGTAGAGCCTGAAAGAGAAAGGCGAACATAAACGTCACAGAACTTATTTTTACAGTTTCGTTAACGTTAAGAGTCCTATTGCGATTCATTTTCTTTAACATCTAGTCTTGAGAATCAATGTTTTTACTGTACAAAAACTGATTAGGAGGCGAACGTCACACTTTAGGACCTCTCCTCATTGTGACTGGAAATGATACAGTTAATTTAGCTCGTTGACAACTTTCGATCTTTGCATAGTAGAGCCTGAAAGAGAAAGGGCAACATAAGTCGAGTAATTGATTCTTCACGCGCTACAAATCAGCGTATGCTTATCGTGAGATTCTTCTTAATTGCTTTTCTTATAAGTGAAATACTAATTTTTAAATTACAACTAATTTAAAATTTTAACTGTTTCATTTGTGTCTTTAAATTATATTTCGTCTGCCTTCAAAATTGAGGAACGCGGAAGAAAACAGACGAAAGAGAAAGACGAACATAAGACGTCACAGAACTTATTTTTACAGACTCGTTAAAATTCAAGAATGCTATCTTGATTTATTTTAACGTTTAAAATAAACTACTTTTATATATTGCATTGTATCGAGCGGGACACATGATATATGATCTTGTTTTTTGCACAGATTATTCTCGATATTTTAAACGAAACACACAATTTTTGATTTCAGTGCTCGAAAAAGCATTTGGAATTATTAAGGTTGTCCAACTGGAGATCAGTCGATACAAATTTTTTTCGTCCTTTTCGTGTTTCTATTCCCGTTGAATCTTTTTGAAATAATTTACGAATCTGAAAATGTTTTACGATACAATATTTTCATTGTCAGAGATATTTCGTGTTTGGCATTGCAGAAATTTCAGTATTATATCGGTTTTGGTAAGATAATAACTAAGAAAATAGTACCAGTTTAAAGTCTCTGGTTAAAACAAATCTTAAGAATTGCAATGAAATAGAGAAACTAAAAAAATTACCAATAATATAGAGAAAACAGGAGTATAAATCTCTGATTTTAACGCACCAGTATACGATATACTGTTTCAACTACGCTGAAAGCAAAATCAATTGGCTGTTCAAGATCTCTGTGCGGAATATCCCAACATCCCCTTCGGCTACACCCACTTTCGAATTTTCGCGCAAACTGATTCAGGGTCTCTGTTTCTCAAACAAAGCGGGGAGCTGACATGATGTAAACTGGAAGTTGCATTTGACGTAATTTGCAGTGGAGAGAGAGAAGCCTAGAAAGGCCA